GTTCAAGACATAAATCCTGAATAACGTCTTGAAACTAAAGGAGGATTCGAGTTGAAAACCTGAAAAGGTGGCTCGAATATAAAAATTGTGCAACTGAAGCGATCACACAAATTCCTTGATAAGGCATCGCACAATCCGAGTGTGACAACGAAGGTTGGGAGTCAGAGAACACTTCCAGTAGAGAAGCATGCAAGCTACCCCATCAATCCTTTGAGCATAAAATGCCAAACCTTTGACCAAACACAATGACCTGAGACTTTTTATCCTTTCCTTACTTGACCATCTCTCAAAGATAGCTTTGATCTTGACACTTGTCAAATAGCTATAATTTATTGAAGGATTAACATTGTAATTAATTCTTTGATATCCGATGAACTCTAGTTTTATGATTCATCTCAATTGTAAAACCATAAAAGTGACAATATTTTCAAAACTTTGGATTAAACATTTTTCAAAACTCTTTATTGATATTTTTAAAAACTTTGAAAATAAAAGAGAAAGAAAAACATTTTTTTTCAAACAAGACAGTCTCTCTAGAGTGGATCTTGGTAAATGACATGTGACTCTTAGACACAAAACTCATGATCAGAATCAATGCTGAAGCAAGAAATGAGGAACATTTGGGGCATCTTTGAAGATTCAACATCAAATATTGGGGCATTTTTTGATATTGGGGCATATTTGGGGATTCAACATCCTAATGCAAATTATCAGACCTTTTTCAGGAGATAAAATATAACAAATTCATGTTACATGCATCTTATGCATATATTTTAGAGCATCATATCTATCATTTTCTTTCCACGTACATAATTTTTACAGCTTTAGAGTCAAGACGAAGGATACTCGATTCAAAAGCACCTTTACAGATTGATGTTGGTTGCTTAGCTCAGCAGCAAGAAGCTACACTTCAACCAACTCGACAGATAGAAAGATCGACATTCATTTTCAGATTTGACATTTCCAATATAAATTCTGTCTCGCTTGAGATAGTATCATTTAATGCAGATGATTATCTCACTTGAGATTGCTTTTTTAAAACATACTTTGTCTCACTTGGGACTGTTTTACTCGAAAGAAGATTTATTTCACTCATGATTGTTTTTCTTAAAACAAGATTTGTCTCACTTGAGACCGTTTTCACTAGAAGAGTTTTGTCTCTCTTGAGACAGTTTCCCTTGAAACAAATTTTGTCTCTCTTGAGACAGTTTCTCTTGAAATAAATTTCGTCTATCTTGAGACAGTTTCCCTTGAAATAAAATTTGTCTCTCTTGAGACAATTTCCCTTGAAACAAAATATTTGAATATGTTTTCTTTGAAACAAATTTCGTCTCCCTTGAGACAGTTTCTTTTGGAACTAAGTTTTGTCTCTCTTGAGACAGTTTCTCTTGAAACAATTTTCGTCTATCTTGAGACAGTTTCCCTTGAAACAAAATCTTTGAATTTATTTCCCCTAAAACAAATTTTGTCTCCCTTGAGACAGTTACTCTTGAAACACAAAATCTTCAAATTTATTTCCCTTAAAACATAATTTTGTTTCCCTTGAGACCGTTTCTCATGAAACAACAAATATCTTTGAGATCGTTTCCCTTGAAACGAATTCTATCTCTTTCAAGACAACTTCTTTTGAAGCATCATCTGAACCGTTACACTCAGCTCAGGCACATACTTGAGATGGTCGAGAAGCATTTCTCAAATCAAAAATAGAATGTGCACATCAGATTTGAACATTTGAAGAATTCAAGATCAGGGATCAAAATTTGAAGATTCAAGAATCAAGATTCCAGACAGGCAACTGGAGATCGAGATTTCTCTCTAGAGCCCCAAGATAACATATGTTGCATATGCATTTTAGGCACACCTAAGAGCATTGCATCCATAGCATCACATATATGCATAACTTTTTCAGGTTTTAGCTAGAGTCAATTTCAACTTCGCGGCGAAGGATATTGAACTCAAAGCGACACGATTTGCTCGAGAGTGGATTTCAACTTCACGACGAAGGATATCTAGCTCGAAGCCAAACTTCACAATAAAGGGGTCTCCACGGTTTCAACTTCACGGCGAAGGGAATTGTGTCCACCCGCAACATACAATACTTGGATTTCAACTTCACGACGAAGGATATTCAAGTCAAGGCTCAACTTCACAACGAAGGGGCCATCCGCGATTTCAACTCCACGACGGAGGATATCGTGGCACTCGAGACAACACAAGTTCAACTTCACAACGAAGGGACGGCTGGTTGTCAACAAACAACTTCTCAATTTCAGAGCCAATTTCAACTTCACAACGAAGGATATTGGACTCCAGACAACGCAAGTTCAACTTCACGACGAAGGGACCGCTGCTTGTCAACAACAATTTTTCAAATTTCAGAGCCAATTTCAACTTCACAGCGAAGGATAATGGACTCGAGAAAACACAAGTTCAACTTCACAACGAAGGGACGGCTGATTGTCAACAAGATTTTGTTCAGAGTCAATTTCAACTTCACAGCGAAGGATATTAGACTCGAGACAGCACAAGCTTAACTTCACAGCGAAGGGGCGACTGACTGTCAACAAACAATTTCCCGGTTCCAGAACCAATTTCAACTTCACAGCAGAGGATATTGGACTCGGAACAATATTTGGATTTCAACTTCATGGCGAAGGATATCCAATTCTCAGGCTCAACTTCACGACGAAGGGGCCCTGTACGATTCCAATTTCACAAACAGATTGACCCAACTTCACGACGAATGAGTCATCTGTAACGCATCAACACTGAAGTCTTCAGGTCAAGTTTCACCTTCACGATGAAGTATCTTGATCCAGAAGACAATTCAAAGGCCACTCGCCAAAAGCTTTGAGTTCGATTCCAACTTCACGACGAAGGATATAGTGCTCAGAAGCTTCCAGATGAACTCGACTTCACGACGGAGGAGTCATCCGTAACTCAATTCGACAGGGAGTTATTGAAACATCAGAGTCAATTTTCAACTCCACCGAACGAAAAGTGTGTCTTTCAATCTTTGCCCTATCCCCGTTACACGACTATGGGCAAAGAGGGGCAGCTGTCAACACACCTTTTTTGTCCTACTAGGATTCAAACTCTCAAAAATAGGATAGAATTCTGCTAGGATTCAACTCCTAAAAATAGGATAGAATTTTGCTATGTTTTAAACTCCTAAAGATAGGATCCACAAGCACTATAAATAGCCATTGTAGCTCACTATTGTAACACACGATGGGCATACGAAATTACCAGAAAAAAAATATGAGCAAATAGATTGTTTTAAAGCTATTGTAAACAATTCAGGAGCAATAAAAGGTGAAAGCTTTTACCTTTCGCATTATTTTCTTCACTTGCATGTGTTGTTATTCGTCTTTGTGCTTGATAAAAAACAGTTTTGGCCGAGGAAAAGGGGTTGTCGTTCGAAACTTTTCTTTTAGATCTACACAACCCCGAGGCCGTTTTGGAAAAATACTAGGATATTTAAAACGAAGGAAAGGTTTACCGCCGATGAACGGTCTCTTATGTATTATTTTCATATTTTTATTTATTTCTTTTTGATAAATCGTATTATTAATTATATATATATATATTAATTATTTTTATTCTAATATTATTTTAATGTTTTTTAAAGTTATTATATATATATATTTATAACTATTATATTTATTATTATTTTACTATTAACGTATATAAATATATTTTCTCTTTTGCTACTATTATTATCATTATATGTATTTTTTATTGTATTTTATTTTTATTTTACTTTTTTTAAACATATACATATATATACATTTAATTATATTTTATATTTTATATTTCTTTATTTTTTTGTTTTCATGTATTTATATATTACATTATTATTATTTTACTTTATTAAATTATTTTTTTTCGTTATAATATTTATATATATATATATTATATCATAATATTTTTATTTATTCATTCTTACTATATTATAGGGATACATCACACTCATTTATTAACTACGGTCCCACCCCTTATCGTCTTTTTCCTTCCCGACAGTTATACTTCACCAAACATTGACTTTCTTTTTTTACTTTTTTGGTGTGATTGCGTTTTTTATTTTACTACTTATTATCATTATTATTATTTTGCACTTAATAATTATATGTTTTTATTCCTCTTTTAGTTTTTCATCATTTTTTTTTTATTTTTTCCTTCTATTTTCTTTATTTCATTTACTCTTATTTCCTTTTTCCTTTAACGCGTTTCTCGACTTTTTAAGGGTACTCTTTCAAATTGATCGGAGGTAAGTAATTTTGGATCATATGTTACCTTTAAATTTTAACTTTCGATTTTCTTAATTAAAAACAACTGGAAATTACGTAGTACCGAAAGGGCGGTTCAAGGGTGCTAATCCTTCCTTGACCGTAACCGACTCCCGAATCCGACATATCTTTGGTAAGACGCAGATCAGGTAAGATATAAGGTATCCGATTAACCTATTTATTTTTTTAAATAAATAATCGATGGCGACTCCAATCACATTTTTCAAGTCGAAGCCCAATTCCGGGGCCCAACCGAAAGACGGTTACGACAGTAGGAAATATTTTTTTCCCCAAAATAATGCCCTCTTCTTATTATTTTCCCAAATGAGGTGAAAGCTACAATAAAACAATGCATTACTTGGATGTCTTGGCGTCTTCAAGGGAAAAATTTTCCAACCCATGCAACCACCCTTTGTTTGGAAATCCCAACGTCTTTAAAAATCACGTTTTCCAATATTATTTCAATTATATTTGGGGATAATTAATTGACACCACTAGTGCCTATAAATTTTAATTTTCCGATAGTCACAAGTAGTTCAATTGCTAGTTAGATTATAAATGAAATAATAAAAAGAGGGCATTATTTTGGGAGAAAATAATCCCCACATGTATTATTCAGGCTATTTTGCCAAACATTATATGAGAAGAATAATTAAAAAGGATAAACTTTTAAAGCCGCGCCGACCTTTGAGAGGAATTACAAACATCGTACACCGCCTTATAATTTGTTTGGATGTGGAAAAGCCATTATTTATTTATGAAGCCTCCTCGCTTGCTCTGCTCTCCCAACATTAACAAAATCCTCGGATATTGGCTCTTCTTACAACTTCCTAAACACATCTCCTTTCCTCCGTATCTTCTCTTTCTCTCTTTCCCTGCTTGCATTCTCCACTTCCACTAGACCTTAAACAGACAAAAAAATGCCTGCTGATTCCGGCGACAGGCGCCCGGCTCGGGTCCCGGCGACCATGGGGTCGCAATCACCGGTCAAACTCTCCGACCCGCTGCCGTGTCCCAGGTGTGATTCGACCAGCACCAAGTTCTGTTACTACAACAACTACAATCTCTCCCAGCCTCGCTACTTCTGTAAGTCGTGCCGCCGTTACTGGACTCAGGGCGGCACACTCCGTAACGTTCCCGTCGGTGGTGGGACCCGCAAGGTTTCCAAGCGTTCCCGGAGCTCTTCCGGGCCATCTCCATCCATGGCGACTTCGTCTTCCTGGAGCGTTACCCAGGAAGCCGAGTCCGTCCATATGGCTATCAATAACGCTGTTTCGGCGGCAGGAGCTAAACCGGAAGTGGGTTTGGCCGACGTGAATCTGAACGAAACCGTGGATATTACCGTGAATGGAGGCTTCACTTCGTTCTTGAACTCCCAGGGAGAAGAGTACCTAACACTAGGTGGATACGGGCTGGGGGCTGGTTCTGGATTCGAAGGGGTCTGGGGATACACCGGTAATGGTTTTCTCGGTGGTTATAGTGGCGGCGATGGCGATGAAGCAGGCGATGGTGTTGGTGGAACCACCGGATGTAATACATGGCAAGCAGCAAGCAATGTTGAAGGCGGCGGAGGGCTGATTGATGGGGATTGCTTCGCTTGGCCAGGCCTTGCAATTTCTGCGCAAGGGAAAGGTTTGAAGTGAAAAAGGGCTTTTCACGTGTTTGTTTTCTTCCTATTGGTTTAGCGTTTTCCAGTTTGATGGTTAGTGGTGTTTGTCGTTTTGATTGTGAAGTTTTAGTTGTCTTTCGTGGGTATAGAATAGTTTCAAGTTTATGTAAATGTATGGTGTCCTTGATCAATATTGGGAATGGAATGAAACAGTTTATTTCCGTTGAGCCAACCATTTGTGATTTCGTCCCAATAAGACCATTTCTTTTTCTTGTTTTTCTGTCTGGTCTGGGAAAGGACAAAGGTAGGGTTTCCCCTGCAGCACAACACTCTCGAGTGATGCTTTTGCCTGCAGGTTTCGGTTACCAACTACTCAACCACTACATCATTCCAAGAGGTTATTTTATTTGGTAATAAATTTAGTCCCAATTTGCTTCAAAACCATCGAATTTCGGTATTTGAATGTGAGTTATTGTACTTCTGGGTCACTCTTGCCTGACATCTTTTTGTTTACCGAAATTTTCCAAGAATTTTTTAGGTGCAAGAATATGAAACTTCCAAACCAATTACACTGCAAGAACAGGTCAAAATCTTTAACATGTTCATGTGATTTATGATAAAGGAATTTAATATTTAAAGATCAAGCCTATTTAATCTATTAATTTATGAGTAATCATAATTATTTTATTTTGATATTATTAATTAGGGTCATTATAAATAGGGGTGTTCAGATTGAATCCGATCTACAAAAATAATCGAAAATCGATCAAAAAAATCGATAACCGAAAAAACCGAAATCGATTTAGTGTGTTTGGTTATTTTTTAAAAAAAACTGATCGGTTAGGTTCGGTTTTGGTTTGGAAATTAGAAAATCGATCCAAATAGAACCGAACCGATGAAATCTAATATTTAATTTACAAGCTTGTAACAAACCCAAATCATAGCTCAGTGGTACAACATTTGATTGCAGTTCAAGAGGTCACCTGTTCGAAACCCGGCTGGAACCTTGTTTATAATTTTTTTCCTTTTGCTTTCTTGATAATACAAACATTGGGTGTTTCTTAAACCGGTATGGATCAATGTGGGAATTTCTGCTCACTGTGGGTATGGATCAATGTGGGAATTTCTGCAGATCGTGTTGACTCCTGAAATTTTAGATCAAATTCCGAATACAAGGTGGATGGTGAATGAACTCAAGATTGGTGTTGAAGTAGAGAGGTAAAAACAAGCAAATCCCAAAGGAATCATTGAGTGAAGCCATCAAGTTGGTGATGGGCAAAGGTATGAAACAACTAAGATGTCGAGGGCAAACCGTGCGAAGCTGAAGCAAACACTTTCCAGAAGAGATCTTCAAGAAGAATATATCAACAATTTTCATCCAAGCTCTCCCATGATCTTGTACAAAAATAGTCTTAAGTTGCAAGACGAGATGCATGAAAATCACCCAAATAAAGGAATGAACGTTCCTTTTTCCTTCTCCATCCTTTCATATTTAATTTTATGAATCAGTATTGGTATTGTAATAACAAGAACTGATAGGGAAGAATTTTTAGAAACCGAATCGAACCGCACAAAATCAAATCGAATTAAACCGCATTTAATTGGATCGTATCGGATCAGATTTTTTTTAAAAACATTCAAACCGATCCAAACCACAAACATTTATATTTTCTGATTGGATGACCACGAACACCTCTAATTATAAATACTTAATCACAATGGCGAGAACCTTCCATTTCTCTCTCTTCTCTTTACTCTAATAATGGGTACAATCCATTTATTTTTACCAAGGTCTAATAACAAAATTCACACAATAAAAAAATTACAGTGGGTGGGCCCCGGGATTTAGAAGATATCTCGAGAAAAGAAAATCTTGTAATTTGTCGTGACATTACACCAACAAATGGATCGTTTTAGAACATATTGTTTTTCGTATTTGCTCCTAATGGAAAACGAAATTGCTTTCATGTCCCCACAATGGGTTATTCCACTTTTTAAAGTTTGGACCTTTCTTCTCTTTTGACAGCTATGATCAAAATTCCATCAGACAAACTATGCCTTCTCCTTTAACATGTAATTTCCAACCAGGCGTTTGGAGAGGAAATAGTTGTGACCAGAATTAGGCCTCTAAATGAACTGAACGTTCAGCGAATCGTTCGTGAACCGTGCGGCGGGAAGTTTGTTTATGTGCGTTTATTTATTAAATGAACGAACATAAACAAGATTTTGTATTCGTTTAATTAAATGAACGAACATGAACATAGGTCTCATTCGTTCATTTACGTTCGTGAACGTTCGGTTATGTTCATACGGTTATGTTCGTTTATGTTCATTCATTTATGTTTAACCTAATCTTCTTAAATCAATTTTGGTTACCAATTTGTAAGTATCTTAAAAATATTAATTAATCTGATATTCTGATGACTAACTCCATAATTAACCCAATTTTATTTGGAGATTAAATCCAATATGTTAACCTGTGAGGCACCTCGCACCTATTTTCATTTCCTCCTTTCCCCCCTCAAACCCTAGTATTCACTGGAGAGTGGAGATGACCGTTGAAAACTTCAAAACAAATTATATTATAGTGCAATCTGAAGTTTTACAGGTCTGTTTTCATCTCTTTCTCTGTTTTATTTGGCTTAATAGTTGATATGTAAAGTTATTGCGAGTATCTTCATATCTAAAACTCAAGAAAACATCATATTTCTTTCTAGAAATAGATGGGAAGATAAAGGTAACAATCGGAAGTATATGAGCATCAGTAAAGAGAAAAATATATAGAATTTGCCAGAAAACAAAACAAATGTTTCTATGCAATTTCTGAAAAAGAGTGTAATAGCGGAAGTAATAGGTTTTCTAGGAAGAACCCATTAATAAGTAGAAAATACACTTTGACAATGAACTTTTGTTTTCATAGTTCTTGTGTGACATTTAGTTGTGGAGTAGACTTTAGGTACGTTAAAATTTTGAATGGTGGTTTAGCAATAATATCAGTTACGATATGTAGCATCGAATGGATTTCAGATCTATGTTATTGCATTGTAGTCCAATTTGTACAGTTCGAATCTTCATGCTGTTAAATTTTCTAGTCTGCCAACGGAAATGACCATTATTAACAAACCTCACTAAAGTCTGACATTAATGTCACAAAACTTTTAGCCGTCGAATTTATTAGAATAAAGTAGTGGAAAATGATTGTTCATATGTAATCATGGACCACTAAGATAAATGTTGTAGCGTTAAATTAAATTCGTGTGAATCATTTAATATCTTTAAAATATCGATCGAAATATTTAATATCTTCAAACATTTCATCACTGTTAATCAGCTCTTACGTTATTTATCACTGTAGATTTAGTTGAGTTGCATTGTCGACTATTTTTCATGAAAGAACAATGGAAGGTAGGGTCTCCAACGTTTATGTTCGTTTATGTTCGTGTTCATTTATGTTCGTGTTCGTGTTCGTTTATGTTCGTTTATTTATTAAATGAACGAACATGAACAAGTTATATTCTTTAATAAACGAACATGAACACAAAAAATTTATTCGTTTATGTTCGTGTTCATTTATGTTCGTTTATTTATTAAATGAACGAATATGAACATACCTCCGTTCGTATGCGTTCGGTTCGTTTACAGGCCTAACTAGAACCAACTTATGACTTTATGTTAACAAATAAGGTTTATTTTAGATTTCAGAAAATGAAATCATAAAATTTTAAAATATTATCAATAAAAAATATTAAAATTATAGTAAATTTTAATTTTTTAGATTAACGATTTTCATCGTCAGCCTTCCTCGGATCATCTGCTATTGTAATAATCATCTTGCAATTTTAAGATTTAAGAAACCAGTAAGCTTAGCGCACTTGTTTTACTGCTATAGTATTAAAAATATAGCCATGGGACCACACCGTACCATGTTTACTTGATGATGAAGAGAATGCAGGGATCACAACTGCTCAGGTTAGGGCCTAATTCAATATAAAACTATGTATTTTCTCTTTAAATTTGATATGACTCAAAAATTATATATCTTTCACCTGAATTTGATTTGTTCAGATCTAAATGTTTACAGTATAAATCTGTCTCGATCCGACGTAGAATAAAATAAGAACTTAATTAAAAAAATAAACTTTTAAAAAAAAATTCATTATTATGCTATAGTCGAATCGAGTCGGATTGTTGTTAACCCCACCATTAGAGCTAGCAAATCGGGTAAGAGTAAAACTGTGTGTTTATTTGAGTGGATAAAAAATTTAAATTCACTCAGATTATTTAAGAAAAATTCAAAAAGAATTGAGCACGAGAACATTCGAGCTTGCAAATTTTCCAGTACAAGAACATTCGAGTTCAAAATTTATCAAACCCAATCTTAAATCAAATTCAATTCCGAGTTCAAAAAACATTCAAATTTATACATTAATAAACATTTGCTAATATATTCTTATGATCACATTTAAATCTAAAAGTAATGAAACCTATGAATAATATAATAATTCATAAATATATATATAATATTTATAAAAATAAACTTGTAAATATTTATAAATTCCTACACTTATTTAGTAGAAATACCTACAAAATAAGAAATTAATTTTATAAATTTCACACATGATTAACTATGATTTATTCTGTAACATTAATAGCATTGCTAATATATTGTTTTAAAAATCATATTTCTTATAATAAAAATATTATTTATATTATATAACATCTAATTTAGAAATTATTTTTTTAATACTTTTTTAAGGTACACTTAACTAAGAAATGATATATTTCAAAAATATAAGAACAATAAATTCAGGGACGAAAATTGGTCAAACAAGGAATTGAAGCCTTTGAATTTTCTAAAAATTCAATTAATCCCTCAAATTTTCTAAAAGAATCAATTAATCTCATTTATCACGCCATCATCTAACCTTGGACTGCCATATGAATATTGTGAATTACCAGACCAACACCGTAACGGTCAAAGGGCCATATTGATTTCTTCTCAATTTAATGTCCATATTAGGTACAAAATAAGTTTAGAGGTAACATTATATAAAAGTAAAATTAATTGTTATGTTTTAAATAAAATATTTATAATTTATAGAAATTTTTATTAAACTGAGATGTTTACAAGGTAGTATATGTTCTAAAGATTCTAAACTATTTGACAATGAAAACTCAAATACTTATGTATATGTTGGTGTTCAAATTCGGGACTTCTAGAGACAAGTATCA